AGTGAGTCTTGGCTTCAGTCTTTCTCTGTATCTAGGAGCTTCACAGGGCAGGGACCCCAGGTACAAGGGACACACCCCACTCCCAGATCTTCTTTCTGGGTGGTTGTAGGTTCCTGTCTATGGTAGTAGGTAGAAGAATAGGGTGGGGTTACCACTCAAACAGTCTAGGAGAATGGGGCTGAGCAGCATTGAGGGAGCAGAGTTTTCTGTCTAGTGGATGTGGACGGCAGACTTGAAGCCCCATGGTGAGGGGCCTCTACTCAGAACCCAGAGGGCATGACCAATATCCAGGGTCCGGATGACAGGGCCGTTGTCTAGATGGCCTCAGAGAACTGAGGATTGGTTTCAAGCCTTCAGAGCTGATTTACATTGTTTTTCTGGATTTTCAACCATCCGGATGCCTGTTAACCCTACTTTCCTTCCAATTGCTCCTCTTCATAATAGAAATGTCTGCTTTGTAGCTGTTCCACCATAGGATGTGGAAGCCGGTAGCTAAGGCAGAATTTGGTACCAGGGGAGTGCGGTGTTGCTCTAACAGACACATCCAATGTGAGGGTGGTTTGGAAGGTGGTTGATGAGCAGAGGCTGGAAGAGTAGTAAGCTGCCTTATAGTAAAAGCCAGGAGGAAAGTAGCAGTGGAATGCTGGGTGTCGAGGGTTCAGAAGGAGGGGAGGAGAACTTGAACTCTGGGGGTGGCACAGAAGCCAACCTAGGGAGCAAAGAGAACTGGGCACCTTTATGCAGAAGGCTTCCTGCCAGAGCGGGGTGCCTCTGAGCACTTGTCAGTACAGCTGAAGAGCTTTGCTTGAGCAGAGCCAAGTCCCGGCTGTCTTCTAGAGACCAAGGCCAACACTGAAGAGACAATTCGCATAGAAACAGAGCTGTCTGAGTCTCAGAAAGTAAGGCCATGACCTCTGGGCTCTCAAAAGGTGCAACCATGACCTCTAAGGTTTCTAAGGGTGAGGCCACACTTTCCTAAGTTTCAAAGAGTTACATCTACTTTACCAACTCAATTGCAGAGTGTGGGGCCTCTGCCCAAAGCGGAGAAGCAAGGCTGCCATGCATAGACTCCTTCAATATTGCAGCCCAAGGCTTGAATTATTTCTTCAGTTCTTTTGGCTCGACAAAAACACAGCTGAGTGTGTCCTTTCTGTTTTGTTTCCTGGCTTCAGGTCTTTGTACAGTTCATTGTAATGCTCTGCTTTATCTTCTCGTACTGACCTTTGAAACTTTCTATTCAGCTTGTCATCATTTCTCCTAGTTGCTTTACCTTCTCCTTGGTCAAGAGCAAGTTTCACAGTCTCTCCTGACATCTCTTTTGTTCTTTCTGGTCTTTTTAATGACCTTTTGCTTTCTTCATATGTGATATTCTTGATGTCGTTCCATAATGTCTCTGGTCTTTGGTCATTAATGTCCAATGCAGCATATATGTTGTTGAGATGGTCTCTAAATTCAGGTAGGATATGCTCAAGGTCATATCTTGATTCTCGTGGACTTGTTTTAATTTTCTTCACATTCATCCTGAATTTACGTATAAACACCTGGTGGCCTGTTCCACAGTTGGTCTCTGGCCTGGTTTAAATTGATGATGTTGAGCTGGTCCATTGTGTCTTTCCACAAATGTACTCAGCTTGTATTCCATTCCTCCTCTCAGGGTGGACCCAGGTAAGAGATGGACTGGGATTTGGAAAATTGGAATGGGGAATCTGGTACCTAAAAGAAAGAAAGAAAAAAGGCCCTGAATGTTGAGAAAAATAGATGAACTTTGAAGGAAATAAAGGCAAAAGTGAGTCTGAGACAAGTAGGCAGATGGAAATGCCCGCCAGGGGCTTTCTCTTGCTCACAGACATTTCCATGACAAGATGCTATGACCCAGAGACCCTCTCAGAGAAGAATTCCCATTCTAAGGGCCTTCCCACAGAGGCTTTTTGCTTTTCTTTTTAGAAACATATTGGTTAGAAAAGTTTTGATGCTTGTTAATAATCAAAAAGAATTTATGGACCACTCATTATGACAGGTGAGTCCTGGGGCAGTGCTGTGGGTTAATGTGCTGGGCTGCAAAATCATCGTGTCAGGGGAGCCTGGGGCGACGCTGTGGGTTAATGCGCTGGACTGAAAAGTCATCATGTCAGGGGAGCCTGGGGCGACGCTGTGGGTTAATGCCCTGGACTGCAAGTCAGTTTGAACTACAGGTTTGCTGGTTCAAGCTCACCAGCTGCTCCTTAGAAACCGTATTCAGGGTCACTGTGGGTCAGAATTGACTTGATGGCATTCAACAACAGCAATGTCTTGTCATCGGAGCCCTGGTGTGGCGCTGTGGGTTAATGAGCTGTACTGCAAAGTCCCTTTGCACTGTAACGTCCGCAGTTCAAGCTCACCAGTCGTCCCTCAGAAACCCTATACAGGATCGCTGTGGGTCAGAACCAATTCGATGGCACTTCACACCAACAACATCTTGTCAGAACACTACTCTGTTTAGATAAATTGAGTGCAACATGTAGATATAATTGTTTTTTGTTGCTAAGTGCTTTGGAGTCATATCTGACTCATAGTGAAGCTGTATAGGGTTTCGGAGGAGTAGCTGGTGAGTTTGAACCACTGACCTTGGGGTTCAAAACGACCTTGTGGTCCAGTGCATTATCCTACAGCGCCACACCAGGATCCCAGTTATGATTAGAAGGCATTTGTAATCTGCATGATTTGAAGATATTACAGGGACGGGAACTCATCCCGGGCACTGAGAGTCCGACATCCCAACCAACTGGTCAAGATTGTCTGTGAGAACCAGCCCTTTGCCTCTGTTCCTTAGTCTTCTCATCAAACAGAAAAAAAAAAGAAAGAAAGAAAAAGAGATTGTTGAGCTGTGTAGTCTTCTAATTTTCATTAAAATTTGTTTTTATTATTCTAAGTTTATAATTTTACTTCCCTTCAATATTTCAAAGCAAAGTAAGCATGATCTTAATAATCAAATGGCACATTTAGGGGTGTGGTGTGTAAATATGTAAGATGCGATTAGAACAAAATTCTTTTTAATATAGGCAGTTTAGAATGTCCCATTGTCTAGAATACATGGATGGTCAGCATCATTATTTATTTTATGGGACTCAAGTGTAAGATATTTAAAATCGTTTGATAGAACAATTGATTCTGCTTCAGAATATGCCATTTATTGTTTATAAGGCTTTGTTGTTGTTGTTGTTGTTAAGTGCCGTCGAGTCGGTTCCGACCCATAGCGTTTAGCAGAGCTTTTTTAGGAGAGAAACTCAGATATAGTTTCTATGCTTGGAATTTGTGAAGACTATAATGCACTTGTTCGTTACAATTAAAGTACAAAGAACTCTAGAATTTATAATCGAAGATAAGCTTGTTTTGCCAGGTTGTCAACTCCAAAAGTCTTACCCACGATGTGCCTCGTCCACATTGTATCTAGAGGGGAGAAGTTGCGTGCTTGTTATCTAAAGTTTTCGACAGCTACTGTTCCATGAATTGAAGGCCTTTGCTGTGGGAATTCCCTTATAAGATTGTGTTTGCTGTTTAAACAGGTTGGTTCAGTTCACAAAATCTTTCGTAAGGATGAGTCAGCACTCTGTAAATATTTTGCCAGATTCATTTTTCATGTATTTAGAGATTTGCATGCTCGGTTTAGAGCAAAGATAAAGGAAGTCCAATAGTGCTTTCCTTATTTTGGGGAGGAGTAGACACTTTTCTGTATTGTATAAACTAGTTGTGCAGGCGAACACCTCTTCTAGAAAACATGCTTTCCTGATGTTCTGGCCGATACCTGGAGCTTCTATTCACTCTTTTAACTTAATGTCAGAACATAATTGTGCAAATGATGACAAATATTTTCTCAAGGCAGGTTTTAATAAAAAGGAGAAGAAACCAATGTGGTTGTATGTGTGGACTGACTTCTCTCAAGTCATGGCTAGCAGAGTGACATCACGCATGTACTTCCGTGTTGTAGGGGCTGATAACTGGCCAATTCTGACAGTTGTGCCAGGAACCCTCTTTTGAAGACTCATACGAAGTGATTTTTACCAGAGTTCTGTCATTCACGTTGTTGTTTTTTTATGACGTGTTCAGGGTTTATTTCCCCTCCCACAGCTTGAGTGACTCCCTAGCACATAACTACCACTGCCACACACCTTGATCTAATTTAAGACTCCTTTCTGCTCATTAAGAAATCCGTCTGAAATAGACATTTTCTTCGGCGCTTTTCAGTCTTATATGGCCACAGATGTGTGTTGGATTTCTTGTTAAACTTTCTTTGTTTTCAGGATAAATGAGAAACACTGGCCTTTCTCTTTGTTTTGAGAACATCTCCAGCTTGAGACCACCTCACTCAGGCACAGCTCAGTGGCTCCCCTTCTTCACTTTACCCTCTGTACCTCAAAACCCAGAACATCAAAGAGTTGGGTCACCCTGGGCCTGTCAGTACTTGGCCGTTAGGGGTCAAATGGGCCTCTCCTTTGGCATTCTCCCTTCTGTTCCCTTCTTAGCCTCTTGACTTCCCTTGTTCCTCTGCTTTTATGTTGAAGTTTTAAAATCTTTATTTCTCATGAACTTTATATCTGGGATGCCAGACAGACCATGCTAAGCCAGCAATAGAGTTAAATCATGTGTTTATTTTTGCCTTATGATATTGTTGTCAGTGGGTTCTGATTCACATCAACCCTGTTTAGGGTTCCAGAGGCTATAAATTTTTGTAGGAAAAAAAAACCATTTTTCTTCTACGAAGCAGTTGTGGACTCCAACTGCCTTAGTGTTGGCGAGTATATTATCAGTATTAGGAATCTATGTGCGTGATCATCTAATTTCCAGTTTTCTCCCCCTAATCTGATTACATTGTGAGGAAGCATTGCCACGGTGGACTGGCATCTACAGGCGGTGCAGACAATTCCAGGATTGAACCAAGAGTGCAGTTGCCCCAAGTCTACTTCTCATGAGACTCAAGAGCTAGAATCTAGTAAGAAAACTGAGCACTGCTTGGCATATTGCTTTCAGATCTCTGTGCGGAAGGTCAGGGTGCTCCCTGCCATCTTCTTCTTGTAGTCCTTGTCAAATTCTTCATTCTGGGCAACAGTAAAATGGTTCTTCCAGTCTCCAGGCATCCCTGAAACAAGGCAGAAACGTAGTGATTGCCAAAGGGTTCAGAAGGAAAAAGCATGCGCTATCAGAGCCCTCACAGGAAACGAAAACCAGGAAGCTTGTATTTAAAAAAATCACACAGGGCTGTTGCTGTTGAGAATAAAATATAGAGCATGAAACCTTACTGGAAAATCTAGGGTGACCACAGAGACCCATTGAGTATCATAGGGTCTAAGTCTCACCTACCTTTCCTCATGAAAGGGGAGATGGAGTGATCCATGAGGTTGGCAGGCAAGCTGGTATAGTTGGCCATTGGATTTTGTTTCATGATATTGAAGGAAGTGTGATAGAAAATCTTATTCAGCATGTCTTCTGGTATTTGTTTTCCCAGGAACTTCAGTATTTTCTGAATTTCCCTCTTTGAGTCCTGTGCGTGGAGCAGTTAAACAAGAGAAATAATTAGATCTTCCATTATGGATGACATTCTACCTTTTAGACAGCAGTGTTTGGGGAGGGTTAAGTGAAGGGAGTTTTCAAGGGACAGCTGTGTGTCAAATGCTGCTCAGCTCCTGCAAAGACACAGAAAGGAGGCAATCTCTGCCCGTTCTGTGTCTGACAGTGCCGTTGCTATGGAGGGTTTCTGAGGAGCGGCTGGTGAGCTTGAACCGCTGACCTTTCCACAATTCAGCACATAAACCACAGCACCACTCCAAGACTAAGCACTAGATTTCCTGGCCAAGAAAGGGCATACTGCCCTCATGTGGAAGTGCCACCAGATCTGAGGGAAAAAGACAGTATATCAGACTAGACGACACTGGGACGATTCTATGAGGGAGGGAAACGTAGGTGGTGAAGGACAGCATTGCTTTTTCTGGTATTTGAGCAAGTGTTGTTCTTAAGTGCTGTTGAATCGACTCCAACTCATAGCGACTCAGGGTTTCCGAGGAGCAGCTGATGGGTTTGAACTGCTGACCTTGTGGTTCACAGTCCAGAGCTGATCCTACAGCGTCACACCAGGAGCCCAGAAATGGTAGCAAAAGGACTTAGGAGTTAAGCAAAGGCTAAGTCAGAGGAATGAATAGAGGTCACTTCATACTGACCCAGACATTTCAGCCCTAGTTTCTTGGTTCTTTCTGAACTGCTCACACTGGTCACATGATTAAAGAGAGGGTGAGAGAGAAAATAGTATGGTTTCTGTTTAGATTGTGAGGCTGTCTTAGCCATGGAGGTAAATTTTTTAATATCAGAACATGTACCCACTACAACACGACAGTTCCTGTGTGTGATGTCACTCCGCTGGCAAGGCCTGGAGAGAAGTCAGTCCACTGTCTCTGTACATTGGACTAACCCTGTTAGTGGTTATGTGGGTTGGACTTCTGTTTACACTGTGGGTTTGGAGTGTGGGAGGGGGAGAATTCACCTAGGCAACTGTGACGTGTTAGCTGATACATTCTTACAGTAAGTTTATGTGATACGTATTATAATCCTTCTGCAGGTGAAGAAATTTGGCTCTTAAATGCCAGGATCCAATAGGTCAATTAGATCATAAAACATGTTTTTGACAATGAAGACATTGTAGGAGAAATAGTTTTCTGGCAATTGTACTGTGAAGCAAAAAAAAAAAAAGAAAAGAAAATGAGAAGATAGAAAATACGAATAATGGAATCAAACTGATTTTGGGAAGTCAGTCGCACAGAGAGAGGAGTCCCACAAAGGGCTGTTGTTCATAAAAGCCCAGCATGGCCACGCTCGGACTGGGCTTTGCTGCATCAGAGGACACGGGATGCTTTGATGGGGACCAAGGAGAGCCTCACCTCCTTCATGTCCTCGTAGAAGAGGTAGAGAATGCGGTGCTTGTCTTTTGCATCCCACCATCCCTTCACATGGTCGTACCAGGAGCCCCACGGCACTGAGGGAAAGGGCGAGAGGAACAATCGGTGTCAGTTTGATACTTGTGAAAAACAAACCTGAATGTCGAAGGGTAATGGGCATTTGATGAATATAACCAGAAGACAAAGTTCTAGAACACAGGGCCATTTGCTATTTATGGTAAATGATAAAGAGTTCATGTAGATTCCTTGGTTTATATTTTCACCCTTAAACTTAACTTCTGCATCTTGTGGTTAAGAAGTCATAGTCTTTGTTTTCTTCGTATCCCCACAAGGTACAATGCATATTGTAGTAAATATTGTCTCCTAACTGGATGGGTGTCAGGTAATCAGGTGCCTTTACTCTCCGTGTCCAGAAATGGGAGGAGGAGAGATGCATTGGGTGTCTTTTGTTGACCCTGCTAAATCCACTCTCCACCTAGCTCCACCCTGCGCTGTGCCCATTAAGATTGATCTGTATGGGCTGAGTACGCGAAGTCCCTTGCCATAAAGCTTATGATTCGGCTTTGCCCATAAGAGACATTGGAAGAAGTTTGGAGGAAAGCAAGGACACTGACCCTCTATTGATTACTGTCCCCATCCCTCGCTGTTGCCTCACTATAGCCAACTGCTTCCTGCTACTGAAGACTCAGCTCCAAGGAAGGGGCTCCCTCCTGTCTCCAGGCCATCGTGTCCCAGTATGGCAACATTGCACTGCCCCGGGGGTTTCCTTAAACTTTGCCAGAGCTTTGGAAATAGCATGTTTCTTAAACGCTTCAGATGATCCAGGTTAAGTGTACCATCTGTTTCCTCCCAAGATGTTGACTGATTGAAAGGATCTTTTAATGAAAAACCTTCCTATCTGATGTCCGCAGCTGAAGGAGAAAGGAAATGTGAGCCCTCAGTTCCCTGTCATTTACCTTTTCCAGCTTTGAATGTCTCAATATACTCCTCCCATGTCCCAGGGTCAGGCACCATCCTAAACATTTTGGAGAAATGATAGTAGGACACCAGACAGTCCTTGGCATTTCTAGCCACGTAGATAATCTGTAATCAGTCAGAACAAACAAACGAACAAACAGGAGAAGAAAAGTAGAATTGGTTAATGCAGAGAACCAAACTGCTGGAAAGGTTTTTAGTAGAATCTTGGACTAATCCATCTGAAAAATTGGATGTGAATTTTCTATGATCAAGGTGATCCTATGTCCCAGTGTATCTCAGGAAAGTTCCAACATATATTTGTGGTTTCAGCATAATTAGTAAGAACTCTCCTTTTTTTCTCTTTGAAGTATCCTAGTTTGTATGCTAACTATAATATTCACCCTAGCTATACTATCCTTGGGAACGTGATGGTTCCTATGGTAAGCACTGGACTGTGAACCACAAGGTCCTCAGTTCGAGCCTGCCATCTGCTCTGTGGGAGAAAGATGAAGATTTCTGCTCTTGCGAAGATTTAAAGCCTCAGAAACCCAACGTAGAGTCGCTAAGTGTTGGAACCTCCTTGACGGCCCTTAATAACAACAATGATAATCTTGGAGGCTAAACTGGTTGTCCATGGTATTTTTCAGTATGTGAAATAAAGGTACACCTTCCATTGCCTTCATTTAGCAAGAAATCTAGCTAGATGATAGGATGGGAAGAGCTAACACAGTTAGCTGTCCAGCCTCGGATCAACGGGATGAATTGCTGCTTACACAAGAATTTTTCGCTCCTCTTCATTCATATATTGATGAGCTAGGAGGACCTCTGTAGCCAGCCTTTGGAGCTGTTTGTCATGAACATCTTGTAGCAAAAGCAATGATTTCTGAAAGGAGCTGCCCTCTTGATTTTTGTCTTCTTGCTCCCCTTTCTCCCTCTCATTGTGCTGGCCCAAACTCCTACCTCTGCTGCTGTGCCTTCTCAGCAGGGTTCACGAAGAGAGGCACTCTCATGGTTTTCTCAGGTACTTTATGTTCTGCATTTTATTTATTTAACAGACATCTGGGCTTAGCACAACCAATCCTGGTTTCCTTTCAGCACATTATGACATACTCTTGCATTCTTGGCTGTATTCCCCCCTTTATTTGCCTAAATGAAAATAGTCCTTGTATGACACACTCTCTCTGTCCCTTTTCTTGCCATAAAGGGTGGGTCAGAACCATTTGTCTTTCTATCCTTCACTCATGAAAGCACTTAGGAACCCAAAAAGTATGATACAGCTGCAAGGCACTATGATTATATGTGCATATTATTTATGTTATTGTTGATTCTTGCCTTTTTATTTTGTAAATCAAGGCCTGAGTAATTGGAAACAGGGGAGCCTTGGGCTAGATTATAAATGTATTCAAAAGTAACCGTGGTTTAGACTTAGAACATTTTGACTTGACCTACTGTTAAACATTCAGTTTTTCTGAGAGTATAAACAATGAAAAAACCTTTAATATATTTCACAAATGAAAAGTTTGGCCTATTCTCTCTAAGGTTACCTTTACTCAGAGAACACCAGCATTCTAAGAGAATCAAGACGATGCTGCCATTGGGATTCTTACATCATTTAGAAGGCTTGATTTGACAAGAATTGGGTGTTTATATGGTGTTTTAGTAAGTGTACCTGTAATGTCTTCTGACACTTAGACTACAAAACGTGGAAACTTTGATTCTTGAGCAGCACAAGTCACATGGTAAAATTCATAATGAATGAGATTATCCATCTGTGGGGATAAACTAAGAAATCTTCACACTGAAGCTGAATTCAAGCTGACCGAGGTCTAACCTCAGGAAGACAACTCAGGAATGTGATAGCATTTTGATACGTAGAGCCCTATTCAACCATATTTCACATCATTTGGAGATGAAGAGGCAATGAGACACACAACCCCAGCAAAAAGACAGATTCCAAGTAATCTTGTGCATCTCAGCATTGCCTTGACAAGAGGGTGTCTTGGCCTTTGTAGTTTCCTCAGTAAGGATTCAGTCTAGCAGGTGAGACAGTCTGCAGTTACATCTTAACATCAACTCAGTTTCTCTAGAATCTTCAGGTAACTGGGCTTCCAAAGCAGCTTGCCTACAGGGACATGAGCTGGGCCAGCTGTCACACAATTAGATTCTGCTGGGCAGCTAACAATACATTCGTATTGCAGAGTTATAAGTTAATATGCTGATTTATCATCCATATGAGTGATTTTAAGACTCACTGCTGATTTCAAAGCAGATGTTAAAAAACCTTTAATATATTCAATGTACACTGCATTTATAGAATGAATTGGGGGTTTGGAAATGTCAAAATGTAAAAAAATTTTTAGAATGTACGAGACAGAGGTATAACAGCATCTGTAAATGAACTTCATGACATACTCTTTCTAAGAGCAGACCAACTTTTCATAGCCTGGCAATATCTGATTTCTGCTTCTGAAAGGTAAATGACCAGGTTCCTAAGCTGTAGTGAAGAAACCATAGTGGACAAGTCCTTATCTGGGCAGCCAGGTGCAGGCGTCCAGGTAGCTGGTTGTGAGGAGTGTAATGGATACATGGCCACCATGTTTGTTCTCTGAATGCACCGCCATGCTCCTTGTCAGATTTCTTCAGCGCTGCTCAGCTAATGAGTGAATACAGTAGGGTGTGCAGGACTGTTGTTGTTGTTGTTGTTAAGTGCCTTCGAGTCGGTTCCGACTCATAGCGACCCTGGACAAGGTTTCCGAGGCTGTAAATCTTTATGGGAGTAGAACACCTCAGCTTTGGGCTGTAGTTTGAGTCTCTGCTCATAAGTTTTTGGTCCCACCCACCTTGTCTTCCTTGTTCACTGGGGCAGACCTGCATCAGGGTCATAGGACATTCTATACCTATTTTATTTCCCTCTACTTTTCTGGTGTGGCACTGTTGGTTACTGTGCTGGACTGCAAAGCCTGCTTGAACCGGGAGGCCTGCGGTTCAAGCTCACCAGCTGTTACTCGGCAACCCTATACAGGACTGTATGGGTCAGAATTAACTTGACAACTGGGACTAAACAAGGACAACTTTTCCCCTGACAGACTTTTACCTAAGTAAATCTCTTTCATATCTAATATTGCATTGGATTCGGCTTTTCAAAGACCCAAACTGAGTTACCCTATTTTCTCAGGAGATAACTACTTTGTTTCATTGTTTACATTCTTTAAATATCAATTTAAAAAAACAGCCAATCAGAATGCATTTTTCTGGAAATTTCATGGCTTGTATCTAGAAACAATGTTTTGAAGTAAATGTGGATCTAGAATGGAGTGTTTGCAAATATAGGGCAATGCCACCATCAGACCCACATCTCCAGTGGTTATTTGTGTTTCAGATTTTTTCTTATTGTCACTTAGAAACATTCTTTTGCCATATTGATCAAAATTGGGTTGGAAGTATTGGCTCTTCTTACCTTTGCATTTTCCTTCCAGATGGAAGGTGGTACCAGCTGAACAGGCAGGTGAGTCTTCAGAGTTCTAGGAGACGGCATTTTGTTAGCCTGATCCAGACCTGGGAAACAAGCTCACATCATCCAGTTGCATATTTTTATCTGTGACATAGATTCAATATAATTGTCTGGCTAAACATCTGGTATCAGATTGTCCCCCACCTCCCCCAAATAAGGCTCTGTGACTAAAATGCTAGTTTGAGGTATCTGTGTTTTCCTTTTTTTTGACAAGTTTACTATCCGTCTGGTAAAATAAAGACATTGCAAAACTATGGAGCTAACATACCTTTCCTTATTGGCTGGGGATTAGTGTGTACTTGTATCTGTAGGTAGAGAATGACACTTTGGGAATTTTGAATTTTGTGAGAAGTATGCTTCCAATAAGCCCATGGATATTCTATTCCTGCAATGAAGAAGTGAGAAAGGAAGCTGGAGAAGAGATGTCGTCTCTCTCTAAGGAAGGAAGGATGTTCTAGATCTATTTCTACAGCGCCAGCATCTCTGTGTAAAGAGCTTTAACTGACCTTTCAAGGTCAAGGACCACAACAGTTACCACTCATATACCAGCATCTTTAGAAGGAAGGACAGAATCTCATTGTGGCCAGGTCATTTCCTAAAGTTAGTGGGTGTGAGAGTCAGGATAAATGATCAGTCTTGTGGGTGTGAAGCACAGTAGAGGAGAAACTTAAGAGATGCTTTGAAAATGAGTCGAGGGGCAAGGAAGACTTAGATAAAACACAGACAACATCACTACTGTATGTAGAAAGTCTAACACTAATTGCTAAAATGCTGATTATAAGATGGGTTTTGTTCATACACAACACCACCTTTAGGGAAGAAGCACACAGTAAAACCTAAACTTCAGTTGTAGAGAAGTACAGTTTTTGAGAGGACATCAGGTATACAGAGAAGGGGAACTACACGTTGGAGATGTCACGGTGAAGAGAAAGGAAGAAGTAAGACAGATGCAGTCATAGATACCATAGAAATGAAAGTATACTACAATCCCAACACCACCGCCTTCCCCAACCATAAAGACCACCCACAAACAAAACTGTGCACCAGAGTGCAGAGCTGACATCATAAAATAGGGTCAGTTTGGAACGCTGTTCATAAAATGAATGCACATGGAAAAAATTGATCTCATGATGTAAACTAAAGTATTATTTAAATAATTAGATTAGGCAAAGCAAAGCAATTAAGTTGATGGATATTGTCCCTGTGCCAGAAAAAAACCACAAAGCTGAAGAAAATTTTACACACTAAATGGAATTGTTGTTGTTGTTAAGTGTGGTAGAGTCAGGTTGCATCCTAGAGTGACCCTGTATAGGGTCTTCAAGGAGCGATTGAATTAAGTATTAGTTTATCACATCAAATCAAATATAATTGAGTATATAAAATAAAACAAATCATAAAAAGAAAAATTAAAAGCAGAAATAGACCAAATATATGAGAGAGATGAAAACAAGATTTGAATGAATTGCAGAAAGGTAAAGAAGAGGCGTGGTCCTGGTGTGGTGTTATAGGGTAAAGCGCTGGACCACAAAGTCAGTTTGAACTGCGTGGTCAGCGACTGAAACCCACCAGGTACATTTTGGAAACCTTATACAGAGTTGCTATGAGTCAGAAGCGACTTGATGGCACCTCACAACAACAAACATAGAAGAACGCTGAAGTATAAACATAACACATGAATGTTGAAGTATAAGATGTACAAATGAATATAGATTTAATAAAAAATTTAGCATAGGACATTGAACAAACACAAGAGAATAACACAGAGAATTACAATGAGGTAAACAGAGGTAAAGAGTCGGAGGGAAAGTGGTTAATAGTTAAGGAAGGTATAGTCCCAGAGAAGCGGTGCACACCAATGGCATAGAACTAACATTTAACCCTAGAATTTGAAACAAAAAGCCCTCTGGAAAGAAAAGAGCACTGGAATTTACATTTAGCCATGGGGTAACGTGGAAAGACCACTGGAATGATCAACTCTGTAACTTAGCATAGAAAAATGATGACATTTTAAGGATAAAGGGAAAAAAAAACATCTCAGTGGCTCCAGGCCAAAAATCTGAAATACTCATAAAATCAAGAGGATTATACTGGCATTATGCTTCACAGGTAATAGAAAGAGGAGAATTGTTATTTAGAAACTTAAGGAAAGAAAGTATTAACTAGGACCTATCCAGGCAAGCTGTTCTTCAAGTAACAAGAATATCGAAAAAAGTTTTAGATGTGCAAGAACTCACACAATGCAGAGCACATGTGTCCTTTATGATGAATTTCTTTCAACCAAGAGATGACTGGGAAAATGTATCAAATAGATGGATGCTGAGAATTTCACATATTTAATGTTGTTGTTAAGTGTCGGCGAACTGGTTCTGACTGAAAGCAACCCCGTATAGGGTTTCCAAGAAGCAGCTGGTAGGTTTGAACCGCCAACAATTCAGTTAACAGCCCAGTGCTTATTCTGTAATGCCACACTAGCACACATATTTAATAACAGAACAAAATTAAGCAAGTTGAGTTAGTGTGTTGTTGTTGTTGTTACATGTTGTTGAGTCAGTTCCAACTCACAGTGCCCTGTACAGGGTTTTCTAGGATTGGGTGGTGGGTTAACAGTCCAGTGCTTACCCTATAGCACCACACTGTGACTTCGAGGTAGTGAGTACATGAAACATTTAAATCATGTGAGTTCTGACAAGCAGAAAGGATGCAACCTCAAAACTGAAGATCACAGAAAGAAAGGAGAAACCCTAAGGAGATCCTTGACTGCTTTGTAAGTGACGTAGGGAGGCAAAAGATTCCTTTAAAACCTTGAAGATAAGCTACAGGGGTAGTCAAAAAGTTTTGCCACAAGATGATACGTTGTTGTTGTTAGGTGCTGCTGAGGCAGTAACAACTCGTGAACGTACACACACCAGAATGCGGCCCTGCCTGGCCTGGGTCAATGTCACCGTCATGGCTACGCTGGAGCCCCCTGTTGCTACCACTGTGCTGATTCATCTCATTGAGGCTCTTCCATCACTGACCAAGCATGATGTTCATCTTCAGGGATGTTCCTCCTGATAGTATGTCTGAAGTAGGAGAGAGGAAATCTGGCCATCCTGACTTCTAAGGAGCATTCGGGCTGTACTTCTTCCAACACAGATTGGTTTGGTCTTCGGGCAGTCCCTGGTGCTTTTAATATTCTCCTCCAACACCATAACTCCACTGCATCAATGATTGCATATCTGTCTTATTCACTGTCCAACTTTTATAAGCATATGAGGTTATTGAAAATACCTTGGCTTGGGTCAGCTGCACCTCAGTCCTCAAGCTGACACCTTTGCTGATGAACACTTTAAGGAGGTCTTGTGTGGCAGAAATGCCCAATACATTGGTTGATTTCCTGACTGCTACTTCCATGGGTGTTGATGGTTGATCTGAGCAAAATGAAGTCTTTGACAACTTCAATCTTTTCTCCATTTATCTTGGTGTTATTTCTTGGTTCAGTGGTGAGGAATTTTGTTTTCTTTACACTCAGGTGTAACCCATACTGAAGGCTGTGCTCTTTAATCTTTATCAGTAAGTATTGTAAGTCCTCTTCACTTTCAGCAAGCAAGGTTGTATCATCTTCGTATCACAGGTTGTTAATGAGTCTTTCTCCAATCCTGATGCCACATTCTTCTTCATCTAATTCAGCTTCTCGGATTATTTGCTTAGCATACAGATTGAATAAGGATGGTAAAAGAATACAACGATGGCACACACCTTTCCTGATTTTAAACCATTTAGTGTCTCCGTGTTCTGTTTGAATGAGTGCCTCTTGGTCTATGTGTAGGTTTCTCATGAGCACAATTCAGTGTTCCATAATACTCGTTCTTAGCAATGTTTTCCATAGCTGGTCATGATCCCCACAGTCCAAAGCCTTTGTGTAGTCAGTAAAGCACAGGTGTGGTGCCATAGGATAAGAACTCAATTTCAGTGTCAGTTTGAACTGCAAGGTCGGTGGTTCAGACTCACCAGATGCTCCTCAGAAACCCTATACAGATTGCTGTGACACAATGGCACTTAACAACAACAACAACAACAAAACATCTTTCTGGTATTCTCTGCTTTCAACTAAAATCCATCTGATACTAACAGTGATAGCCCTTGTTCCATGTCCTCTCCTGAATCTGGCTTGAACCTCTTGCAGTTCACTGGTAATGTACTGTTGCAGCCATTATTGAATAATCTTTATTTGTGTGGGATAGTAATGAGATTGTCTGATGATTTCTACATTCTGTTGGGTCACCTCTCTTTGGAATGGGCACAGATAGGAATCTCTTCCAGTCAGTTGGCCGAGTCGCTGTCTTCCAAATTTCTTGGCAGAGATGAGTGTGCCCTTTTTGTTTGTTTGTTTTCTATCACTTCCTGGCACCTTGTTTTTTGTCAATGCCTTCAGTGCACTCTGGATTTCTTACTTCAGTACCGCTGGATCTTGATCATATGCTACCTCTTGAACAGGTTGAACATCGTACAGTGATTCTGTGTATTTCTTCCATCTTCTTTTGCTGCTTTCTGTATCATTCAACATTTAGCCTTTAGAATTCTTCAATATTGTGAGCCAGGTCTTGAATTTTTCTCTAGTTCTTTCAGTTTGAGAAATGCTGGGCGTGCTCTTCCCTTTGGCTTTTCCAACTGTAGAAAAATTCCTCCGTGCAAGTTTCCTGTCCTTTTCTGGTGCGGTTTTCAATTTTCTGAAACCCCCCTAATAAACTCCCACCACCGTCACGTGCTTTCCAAGGGAATCTGTCAAGATGACCGATTTGGGATTCCCGTAGTCAATGCAACCTTCTGAGCTCACCTCTCTGTCTGAAATTTGACTTGCTCAGTAGATCTTGTGAAAATAACAGTTTTAATTGGATTTGTCTTTTTGTGAAGGCATCCTCATGGGACTAAAACACTTGTGTCACTGACAGAACTGGTCTGCAGCCATTCATCGATCACAGAGTTATATTGAATTGTGTTGTATTTTGAAAACAATCCATGCATGCATGAACTGGAAGGCTATTAGTGATACTCTGTGAGTTACCCTAGCAAGAAAAATTTGGTGGGGGTGGGTCTGTGCTATGGAGTCGGTTTTGACTCCTCGTGACCCTGTATAGGATTTCTGAGGCTGTTAATCTTTATGGGAGCAGATATCCTCATCTTTCTCCTGTGGAAGGACTGGCAGTTTTGAACTGCTGACCTTGAGGTTAATAGCCCGATTTGTAACCACTATGCTACCAGAGCTCCTTAATAAAAACTTACGTAACAACAACAACAGAATTGTGGCCTCTACAAAAGGCAACCATTATTTAAGAAAATAAACATACAAACTTTCTTAAACACCAAATGAAAGAAGGAAAGAAGGCATAAATGAATAAATAGAAAAGCAGATACCGGCAAAAAGGAGCTCTGATAGCGTAGTAGTTATGAATCGGGCTGCTAACCGCAAGGTCGGCAGTTCGAAACTACCAGTTCTTCTGTGGGAGAAAGATGAGACTTTCTGCTCCCATAAAGATTTGCAGCCTTGGAAATCCTGTACAGGGTTGCTATGAGTTGGAACCGACTCCACGGTACTTAACAATAACAACATAAACAGTAATTGAATCCTGGTGTGGTGCTGCGGGTTAATGCGCTGGACTGCAAGGTTGGTTTGAACTGCAAAGTTGGCAGTTCAAGCTCACCAGCTGCTCCTTGGAAACCCTACATGTGTCGCTGTGACTTAGAACTGACTCAACAGTGCTTAACAACAACAACATACACAGTAATATCCAAACACATGCTTATATGGCCTAATTGGGCCTAAACACAGTAGCATCAATCAGTGTGAGCGGGCTAGTTAATCACTAGGATTTTCAGAGTAGCTCATAATGTACCACTCAGCTAAATGCATCAGGAGAAATAGAAGGATGCTGTGTATTTGCTTCCCTAGGCCTGACATAGGAGCATGCTTGATAGCTGAAATGAATTAACCGATAAGAAAGAATTTTCTCATAGTTCTGGATGCCAGAGTCTGAAATCCAGGTGTTGGCTGAATCCTGAGCCTTTGTAAGGTTCGAGGGAGCATCCTTCTTTCGCTCTTCCAGCTTCTGACGGATCCTACTATTTTATTTTTTGCCTTTGGCAACATAATTGCAATCTCTCTCTCTGATTTCATATGGCCTTCTTCCCTCTATCTCTCTATAATTAACCTCCTTCTTTGTCTCATGAAGATCCCAGTCATAGACTTTAGAGCCCACCTACACATTGTACTACTAACAGCAAATCCACCAGCCACCCCAGGGAGAAAGATGAGGCCTTGGACACCCTATGCAGGGTCACTGTGAGCTGGAACCAACTCAATATCACACAACCCACACCACCAGCAATCCAGAATCATCACCTCAAAATCCTCAACTCATCACATCTGCAAATACCCTCTTTTCAAATAAAAACACATCCTGAGGTTCCAGGTGGACAGTTTTGGAGGGACAGGATTCTACCCAGTCTAGATAGAGATTTCATAGAGAAATGAGATCTCTAAGAAAAAGGAACTGTGATGTGATCTTGTAAACTAGTATTCCATCCAAGGCATCATATAAGGCAAAGATGAGAGCTGACAAAAGCAAAGGTCACGTTAAAGCAATAAAAAGGAAATGATCATGAATGGCTATGTACCAAATCACATTGTAACTACTTACAAGAAACTATAATAGATTCAAGTAAAAATATCAACATTAATAATGGGATACTTTAGTCCTACACACAACACTAACAATAAAAAAAGTCTTACTTGTATTCACCGCTGCCCCCTAAAAGGACACTTTAACAGAACACTTCAGTACAAATCGGATCAAATCCACACACACAAAAATGACATAAAATTTTTGAATAAATGATATGGTAGATATTTTGAATAACAGAAAATTGTTGTTAAATGCTGTTGAGTCGTGTCCGACTGAAAGCAATCCTGTATAGGGCTTCTGTGCCTTTGAGCTGTGGTGTTGGAGGAGAATACTGAAAGTGCCATGGACTGCCAAAAGAACCAATAGATCTGTTTTGGAAGAAGTGCAACCAGAGTGCTCCTTGGAGGCCAGGAAGGCTAAACTTCGTCTCTCCTACTTTGGACATATTGTCTGGAGCAAACAGT